AATATAGAGTGCCTTAGGAATAACTATTATATGTATTACTTTCCTTATACTTAGAGGTAGGGCCCCCCTATAGACTTTATTAAGTCCCCTAATATGCCTTACCATTACTTAGGTAGTTACTACTTAGGTCTTAATATATGTCTTAAAGCTAAGCTTCCTATTAAGGTATACTCTTAGCTATCTTATAGAGCTCTAAGGCTTAACCTTATAGTCCTTATGCCTTATTAAGAGGCTATTAGTAGTTTATTATTATAAGAAGTATAGTACCTCTATTTTTACTATATTAAAGAGGATACTATTCTTTTCCCTTTAGGTAGTTACTTTATTTAGTAGGTCCTATACTACCTATCTGCTCTCCTGCTCTGTCTTACCTATATATAGTATACTATAGTTATTTATATAACTAAACCTAGACCTTTTATCCTTAAACCTATATAGTAGCTTAATATAGTATAAATATAGGATAAGGGAGGCTAGGGATCCCTAAGGGAGACTATAGTAGAGGGGTAGTACTAGAGAGGAGTAGTCTTTAAAGCGTACCTATATATAGCGCCTTGTTATAAACGCCCTTACCTAGCTAACTATATTATTAGGCTAGCCTTATTCCTTTATAGCCTAGTAGAGGCGTCTGCTGTTAACTATATTAAAGGCGCCCTATATATCTATTATAATTAGGGTATAGTGTTACTATTTACTAAGTGCTGCCTCTATATTATATATTAGGGTAGTAATAATATCTATTACTAATCTCTATAGGAGTGCTTCTGCTACCTATAGGTGTAGTATATTTTATTTTATATATCTATATATAATACGCTTTATAATAAGCCTCTTTAGCCTTTTTCTTACTATTAAGAGTAGTAATATTAGGCGCTAGCCCTTAGGCTAGCTAATATCCCTATTTAGTTTAGGTATTATAACTATCTTAGCGTTATAGAACAGGAGGGGGTAATACCCTAGTTCTAGGTATACCTAGAATAGCTGTCTTATGTAGTCCTCTATTTTTAGCCATACTACCTATAGTATAACTATAGTAATCCTATTTATACTTAGTATAGTGTTACTAGCACTAAGGAGTGCTAACCTTACCTCCTCTAGGTGTATATAGTTATCTTATTATATTTGTCTCTTAGGGACTGTTAGTGTATAGGGGTTAATGTCTATATCTGCCCTAAAACGCTTTAGTAGCCTCCTCTAGAGAAGGGTAGCCTTCTTAGCTAGTATAGTAACTACTATATTACTATCCTATAGAGGAGGTAAATATAGCTATAATATAGGCTTATACTAACTTATTACCTTATAAAGGTTCTTATTTGTTACTATTTTATTAATCTAATCTGTTTAGTATGTTACTTTTACCTTATAGACTACTTTTTTTAGCTCTTTTACCTCCTCCTTAGTGTTATCTCCTCTTCTATATATACTATAGAAGGCACTTTTAGCTTTCTTATACTCCTCTATCTACTAGACTACTAACTATCCTTTAACTAGCTGTATGCCTATAATAGTAGCTACGCCTTAGAGGAGGTTAGTTAGGGATAGAGCTACTTAGTCTAAGCCCTTAGGTAAGTCTATCTTATTAGGTAGCACCTACGCTGTCCTCTCTACTTCCTCTTTATATTATTATATTTTCTCTAAGGTGTCTATTTTAATCTAGGTCTTTACTAGGAGGATCCCTATAATTATAGGAATAGTAGTAAGTAGTGTTAAGTAATTAGAGCTAGTGTATAAATAGTTTATAATAATAGTAGTTATAAGTAGGATATCTAAGAACATAAGGTTAAGAGTGTTACTTCTATTATATATAGCTACCCCTAGCAGGCTTATAAGAGCTAGCTGCCTCTCCTCTAACTAGTCTGCTAAGCGTATAGCCCCTTAGTTAGAGGAGCTACCTAGCTGCTAGCTAGGGTGCTAAGTATTAAAGTCCCTAGCTATAAGCGTGTTTAGTAGTACCTCTTAGGCTTCTAGGGTATCTAGGACTCCCCTAGATCTTAGCTCCTTATATATATTAAGGTAGTGCTATCTTTAGATAGTAACCCCTAAGAGGTTATAGTGTAGTATAGGGGTAATATTAAATATTATAATATTATTATATATCTTCTTTATATAAGTAAGGACTTAGGGTTATATATCTAAGAACTCTTACTAGGGTACTAGTAAAAAGGTTATATAGTTTACTATTATCTTTATAACTAAACGTTTATCTATAAAGCACTAAGGCTTTTATATTATAACTATATTAACTTTTTCCTAGTTAGTAAAAGTAAAAGTAATATTATATATAGGCCTTAATCTCTATATATTAACATGTAGTATTCTAATTTGTCCTATTATTATAGTAGTAATAATAAGATAAATATACCTAGTTTAATAGGCTTTAGCGTTATACCCCTCTTTAAGGTATCCTTTATTACCTTATTAAAAATCCTATTAAAGGCTTTAACTTCTTATTAGTAGCTTAGTCTAGCCTTATACTAGCTTTCTCTATCTAGACTTAGGCTACTTTATGTAGCCCTAATACACTCCTATAGTTACTATCTCCCTTCCTAGGCTGCCTTATATAGTTAGAGACCTTATTATTTAATATATTACTATTACCCCTTTATTAGGCGCGTAATATTCTAGTTCTTCTACCTTAGTTAGAGTAAGTAGTCTAAGTGTATACTTTAGTATAGGCCTTTATAGTTAGCGCACTAGATAGGCTGTATGTATTATATGTTATTATGTTTAGCCTCTAGGATCCTATACCCCTTATAAAGCTATTACCTTACGTATAGCTAGGCCTTATACTAGTTAAAGTAGATACTATACTAGATTAGCCTAAGTTTATCCTTTAATTATATTAAGACTAAGCTATTAAATAGCCTAAAAGGCCTAGTCTTATCCTATAGTGTAATAATTTATATCTATAGCTACTAGGCTTCTATACTTTTTATAATATAGCACTTTTATAGTCTTTATTTTATTATAATAGTAACCTTTATTATTACTATCTCCTCTATAACTAGGACTAAGTTCTTATTATAGTTATATGTTATTAATAGGACGCCTCTAACTCTATAGAACGTCTAGGCCTAGGGACTATTAATAGTAGTTACGCTAAGGTGTTAAGATAGCTAAGTGTAGCTATTAAGTATAGCCTGTCTTACTTTATTACTACTTAAGGTAATTATAAAACTAGTTAGTATCTTAGTTATCTTTTTAATATCTATAACTTATATCTTATAGATCTAAGTAATATCTCTATAGATAGTAAAAGGGGGGACCTAGTTATTAGGTATTCTAATAAAGATATAGTAGTTAATATTATACTACTAAGATCTTTTTTATATATCTTCTAGGCCTTAAGTAGGTCTTTTACTACTAGTTCCCTCTATATATAGTAAAGTTATTCTTATTAGCTTAGTCTATACTATATAGCCTGCTATTACTTACTATACTAGGCGTTCTATTAGCCTACTAGGCTTAGGCTTTAGTATTATAGGCTTTTTATCTCCTCTTAGGGTGCTAACTAATAGGTTAGTATAGTAATTAACTATAGTCTAGTAGTATCTTTTAGCTTATATTTATTAAAGTGCTTACTATAAATTAGTAATTAGAGTGTTTACTATATATCTATAACTATTATTAAGCGCTATAATCTTACTTAGCTTATCCTTAGGGTTCTAAGTTATATTTATTATTAGTCTATACTATAATACGTTAATACCTAGCTTTTTCTTAAGGGTCTAAGTTATCTCTATAAAGTCCTTTAGAGGCAAGATGTTAGTAATAGTTATTAGACTTAAGGGTACTATAAACCTCTTGCGCTTTGTTAGTAAACCTTTACCTATTATTAAGCTTAATATAGTAAGTATTACTGCTGCTAGCAGCTGTATCCCTGGGCGAGGCGTTGCTAGGGGCGGCAGAGCCGGCCTGTTGGGGGCCGGCATATTTGGGAGGTAGTGCGCTTTGTGTGAGTAATAGAGAGTGTTAAGAAACTTGGTGTAGTGCACGCTTGGAGACTAACAGCTCTAAAACGTGACGGGTAAAAAGGAGGGAAGGTTGGACAATGTTAATACGGTGTAAGGTGAAGACGTATGTCTGTGTGTAAAGAAAGCTAGAAGAGTTTATACTGTATATATCTGTTAGCTTTACCCTTTCTATAACTCTTGCTGAACCAATCTTTACTCCCTTCTTAGAGTTAATTCATTAAAGAAATGCGCCAGTCTTCTATTAGAGTCTATATCGCAATGGGGCTTTCTATTGTGACCATGATCCTTCTATTGGCATGCTGCATCCGGAAACGGGCGTTGCGGAGAGGAACCGCGGTACACGCTGCTTGATGAAGCGGAAACGGATCGATGCCACCCAAAGAATCTTTTGTCCGATTCTCTGAGGGAGATCGTTTTATCGAATGAGTCAGCTCCGGTATGGTCGTTTTTTCTCACTCCAATCCCTTACTCATAGCATTCAGGCATTCAGAGGGTTTTCTACCATTATAGCAGCAAGAAGCACGCCAAGGTTCGAGCATCAAACCTCTGTATAAGTGCACGGGGCACGGGCACTGCGGCGGGATTAGCTGCCTAGAGCTTGGGTGACTAGTTACGTTTGTCTGGGTTGAGCAAGGTGGAAGGTTATTTGAATGGCCGAGTTATTAATTTGATACCTACGTCCTTTCTTATACCGATTCGTAGTACCCGGCATCTAGTTATATCCTGTGATTTATTTCCTTTTACTGGAACTGTTGGTATGCTTGTGGCCCTCACTAACATCCGGACGGGATTCCTAAGAAAGAAGCTCTTTGGCCATTGATTCGGCTAATGATAAGGCCTGGACAATCTTCTCTGATGGATACATCGTGCTAGTATGCAGTGTGAGGACCAAGGACATCGACTATACGTTAGCAAAGTAAGGCTGCAGAATACAAGTAAACACGTGCTGCGGCTTCACCGCCCCTAACTATATACCCGAATCTTAGTCTACGCCTTATGCCTATTGAACGACACGACGTCGTGCTTTCATTCCGCGATGCCTCCAGGCCATCGCTGCATCGACAAGACGCTGCCGTCGACAATCAGGTCAGATCCAGCCATCAAGCCTGCATTTGGCCCAGCCAGAAACTCAACTATCCCGGCAATCTCGTCAGGCGTCCCCGTCCTTCCAAGTGTGGTGTTGTCAATCATGCTTTGCGCAAAGGGTCCCTGCTCCGATCGTAAAACTTGACCAAGCATAGGGGTCTCAATAGCCCCGGGGCTGACGGTGTTGATTCGGACTCCTTTGCGAACCCACCTAGCCGCACTATACTGAGCACGGACGATGCAACCAAGCCTGGAGACACCATAAGCGTGGCTCGGGTCTGTATCGCGTTCCAGCTCATGGTGCATGAGGAGGGATGCTGTCGGGGCTGTCGCCATATGGGTCTCCAGATCCGGGTTCCGCGGGAGCAGGTGACCGGCCACCGAAGCAATGATGATCAGGGAGCTTCCGGGAGGCACCAGGGGGAGAAAGATGTCGAGAACAAGAGCGATGCCGGTGAGGTTGGTGGCGTAGATCAGCTGGGTGTCGTTTGTGGCGCTGGATACACCGGCTGTAAGGATGACGGTCTTGATAGAACCGAGCTCGGCAGCAGGACGTAGTCTGACAGTTTTGATCGGTTTAGCTAAACGCCACGCGGAACGGTCTGAGCCTCGGTTGAAGAGAGACTGAGCGATGAATCAAATCTCCAGCCTTACTTGTACTGTGTGGATCCTCGACGAGGCGGAGAGAGAGATATTGCACGAGAGCCATATTCTGCTCTTGATCCAAAAAGCGTCGAGCCCTGCACGTTCACGCCGGAAGGTCAGAAATGAAGGCAGCTCCGCTAATAGCCGAGCGTAAAGTGACATGCGATGGAGAAAACCCAGTGTTAGACTGTTAGGCGAGATGCCGGCTTGTTCACGACAGTGCTTGACCCAAGACAGAACGCCGGGGCTCAGCTCAGTCTGGGTTCATGCCTATAGTGAGGTTTCCGTTTCCACCCTACTGTAGTCTCCTTCGCCGCCCTGCCTTTATTGCTACTGTCAATGTCTGCTGTTTCGCCCAGAGATGGGGAACTATACCTCCCTACTTTAGGTATATACTCACCGCCACGCGGTTGTTGTCGTGTACTGCGGCGCCATAGAACGCGTGGAAGCTACAAGTAGAAATATTCCCTTGAATTTTGCCAAACTACCTTCCGATTCAACTACTTGAGTCCGTGTCCATTCTGACTTTGACGCATCTCGTCCGCGATCGCCTCATGTCCACTTCCACCCGAAGACCGACCCGAATTGATGGATTCTGGACGCACAGTGGCCTGTTGAGCAGATACTCCAGGTTCGACGACGTAGGTGGCCAGTCTATGGTTTCATAGTGGTGGTAAGGAATGGAAAACTAGGTACCGCGGTATTCCCATCAAAGAACTAGGTGGTTTCATATAGATGCGAAGAAAGGGATACTGTGTTTATGTAGATCCTTTGTCGCCCTTCGGTGACGAGGTAGAAAGCCATGCGGTACATAGCTCAAGGCGAAGGGAAGAACACTCTCAGAAATACATTGGTGGAGTCTTAGATGTCTCGCCGCAGCTGTAGTCACCCTCTCCACAACACAAGCGACCATCCCAGTTGCCAACCACTTGACCTAGCGTTGTGTGAGATAAGAAGAGCTATACAGACCTGTTGTTAACGTACCTAAGTCAATTGGCTAGTTACTCTCTGGATACCACCTGTCTGACACTGGCATTCATACGTGCTTGGCAACTCTGCTGATCGATCAAGCGAACAAGACGAGCATGACTCATCAAAGTCACCCCTACCATGATGTAAGATGATGACATGCTTATATATATTTAATTTGTCTCTTACCTGTTTCCTTGTTTCAGTTGACCACTATCGTTCCATAGACATTGACCAAGGTCCAACGACGACCAAGTAGGGGCCGAGATCGTACTGTTGCAGACTGCTGCTATGACACTGCCATTTGGGCCCATTATGTACCACGAACCGCAGGACTTTTGAAAGTTCGCTGCCTTCCAGCCGGATTCCGGAAGCTGGGACGACAAGCTTACAGCAAAGAATACGAACTGCACCAGGAAGGATTGAGAATACATTGTAAGGCTTGTTTGGTGCGAAATGTCATGGAAGTACATGCTATAAAAGAAGAAACCTACCCTATTTAAGCAATAATATAACCTTAACTACCTGACAACCCGTGCCATAGACAGCAGTATGCGCCGTTTCAGCTGCCGTAGATATGACCTTGAACACTTGGAGAACAGGCTTCAAGACGGTAGGCTCACAAGTAACTCCCCCACCCCACATCCAAGACACCCCCACTTCCGAGACATCCGAAAATCCCGCATTTCTCCTCCTTCATCAACATCACCACCTTTTTCAAACTATCATAACATTTCACATATATAACCAAACAACGCCATTTTTTCAAGATACCTTCTTTAACCTATCATAAAGCAATATACTAAAGATAAGCTTTATTAGGCCCTTCTAGATATATAAAATAGGTATAGTATCTAGGCTGCTGCTTCTAAATAGGGCATACTATACTAGTTACTTTATTATTAATACTATAGGCAGTAAAGTAGGGATACTGCCTTTACCTATATATAACACTTATCTTAGGCCTAAGAGGATAATCTAGCTGCCTATATATCCCTCTAAGCTTCCCTTAGTAGGTAGATTACCTATTAATAAGTAAAGGGCCTAGTAAAGCGTATAATAGGTAATAGGTATCCTCCTATAGGGAGGAAATAGATAGCCTAATTTATATAGCAAAATCTATCTATTAGAACCCTCTAATCTAGAGTAATTAATGCCTAGTAATAGGCAGCCTATTCCCCTAAGGTTATCTAGGATTTCTTCTATTACTTTAGTAGTATCCCTACTATCTAGGGTATCTATCTATCTAACAGATAGAATATAAATAAGACTAGTATTATAAAGGGTAAGGAAGTTAATAGGCTAGTGTTAGGCTCTATAATATTATAATATATTTAGAAAAAGTAGCTAAGATCCTAGGTATAAGTATCTATTATTAAGTATATATCTGCTACTAGGAGCTTCTTACCCCCCTTACTTATATATAAGGGTAAGTTGCTCTAGGCCTAGTGGTTTATATCTAACCTATCTAACCTATCTAGATATAAGGCTTAGTAATTTATAGTAATAAATAATAGCTAGATAACTAATAATACTGCCCTTAAATAGCTAGAGGAGGTCTTTATCTTACGTACTAGGCCTGCCTAGCTAGAGGCTAGACTACTAGTTCTTAATAGGTATTATAGCTATATAACTATTAACTTTATATAGAAATACTAGTAGTATTATATCTATCTGTTATTTTTACTACTATATACCTCTACTGTCCTCTAGCCTCTAGATATAGCTGTCTTTAGCCTATTAAAGCAGGCCTATTACTAGAAGGTTAGATATCTAGATAACTAGGTAATAGATTTAACTGTTACTAGCAAAAGGGTATTTCTAGAGTGTTATTTTAAGGCCTATAAGGTATCTATTACAGTTATTAATATTAAGAGTAGCTAGAGGGCTACTAGGTTATAGCTAGTATCTAGAAGGCACCCTCTATCTAACCCACTAGTCACTAAGGCCTAGCAGGCCAGCCAGGCCAGCCAGGCCAGCTAGTAGTCTAGTAGCTAATAGTAGGATAAAGCTAAATCTATTATCCTATAGTTAACCCCCTATTAATCTACTAATCTATAGTATTAATTACACTAGTTAACCTAGCTAGGTAAGGATAGGTTAGATACCTATACTATCTATTACCTATCTAGAAAGGTGTAAAAGGGATATAATAAGTAGGTATCTAGAGTAGCCCTTCTAGAAAGGTAAGTTAACTTATTACAGGCCTAGTTAGATAATATATAGTTATATAAGAGGAAAAAGGTCTGCCTATTACCTAATAGCACCTTTACTACTATAGAGGATATTATCTAGGCGTAGAGTCCAGATGCTGGTAATATAGATAGTCTGGATGAATCTAGGGCATCTGAATTGCCTAGCGAGGCCAAAAGTTGCATATGGGTGGGCGGCAGAGATAGTGAAATAAGTAGTGATAGTGGTGGTGATGATGGTGATGATAATGTCTTGGATGTAGGGGTGTCTTGCAAGTAGGGTGGGGGAGTTATGTAACCTAACTAAACCACGAGAACCCGAAGTGAGACGGTAGATATAGAGGAGCAAGCCGGAAATGGAGACATCACTTACGGGCTTTAAGAAGACAAGGACACAATCTCAGCAATGCACATGTAATTAACATAGGTGCCCTTTCGGCTTTGCCGCCGGACGTAATAAATTGTGTGTGTGTGTGTGTGTACAACTATGTACACACACACACACAGTTTATTACGCCCTGGCTAAGCTATAAAGGGCTCTTGTATCTATCTTACATGTTCCCTTTGTTGAGTTATTACATACCCTGGTCTCAAAATAAGCCTATACACAATATCTACTTCCGTCTGTGTTCTCTTTGATTACTCCTTCCGATGCTTGCGGTTTCTTGTGGGGTTAGTAGCAGGCCATCTCGGAGCCAAATCCTCCAAGTGTTTAGGTCTCTATCTTCGGCGGCTGAAGCAAGCCCTGCTGTTGGTGGCACGAGGGTGCGTAGGGGGTTAGTTGGTCGTTAGTAGTGGGTAATATAATGGTGCGTCGCTCTTGTCTGTCTTTAGTTGATCTGTATCTTAAGTCGTCCTGTTACTATGGCGAATTTCACTGTTTCTCTTATAGCGTCTATACATAGCGACTAGTCATTGGGGTCAGATACGTCCTTTCCCCCTAAGTAGAATAACAGATTCTCTCTATGCGTGTCTGTTTGTTAAATCATTAGTGCGCGTCGTGCTGTCTATTAGGTGTAACGGAAGAGGAAATGCCTGACCGTCTCTGCTGCTTGTCCGCATGCGCATTAATCCAAGGCGGCCACTCTAATCCGATGCAGGTACTAGTTAAGCCTTACTATCCCTGTCTGTAATTAGGCCAGTATGCTAGCCTCTTTTTATAAAAACAGGTTATATAATTACTATGTGTGCTTTCCTAGCAGGGCAGCGTTAACCTTTTTTAAGAACTTTCCTACCCCTTCTGGTAACCTGTAGTACTTTAGTAGTCTTATTAATGCCTTTCTAAGTGTGGTTAAGTAGGCCCTAGTTAGCTTCTTCCTTGGCGTCTTTCCTTGTTGTGTGCTCTCTTTTGCTACTGCCTTAGCCTCTAGCTTAAGGTTAGATTTTACGCCTGCTAGAAGCTAGAAGAGAGTAACCTTATTCCCTTTACTTATAAGAGTGTTATCTGCCTTATATATATAATAGATCTCTTATTAGCCTAATTATTATTACGGTTTCCCTGCTACTAAGACGGCCGCTTTGTTAGTAGAAAACATATAGATAATATAATAATAGATCTCTTTTAAGAGGGTCTCTAGCGTCTTTACTATTACTATAAGCTCTACTGTATATAGATTCTACTTTTTCTTTAAGCTAGTTATGTTTAATATTGTTGTTATAGAGCTGCCTTTTCTATAGGATAAAGGGAATAGTATTACTGTTCTATAGCTAATAAGTTTGTTTCTTACTAAGCTACCTATAGTAGCTCTTACGGCCCAGCTAGTCTAAATTACCTTAGTTACTTTATTACTATCTTCTTTTACTACTGTATGTATTTAGCTTTCTTATAGTCCCTATAGAAACGCTTTAATAGTTTCTAGCCTGTCTACTAGTAGGTCTTAGTATACTGCAGCTATCTTTTAGAAAGGTAAGATATACCTCTTAAAGCCCTAAGGTCTAATATGTTATAGCAGATAACTTATAGGTAAAGTCTAGAGACGTACCTAGAACTTAATTACTTTCTTATTAAATTATTCCTAGGCTAACTATATGCTTACTTCTGCTTTAGTAACTGCTATAGCTACTATGTTAAAGGTTCTAATAATAGCTTAGGCTTTAATCCTCTATACCCTGTTAATAACCCTTATTTAGGGTGTCTTATACCTATATTTCTAGACGTTAGATATATAGTCTATTATTAGTACTACTGCTGCTATAAAGAGTTATCTTGCTGTTAACAGTAACAGGCCTTTAAGCTGTCTAAGCTTTAATACAGCTTTAAGACCTTTTGTTACTACTTTTATAATATATTTCTTAAAATAAAGCTTAATGTCTATAATTACACCTAGGACCTTTATATAGTCTTTAGGCTAGACTGTCTTACCCTTAATATTAAAGGTTAAGTAATCTTCTAGGTGTTACTAGTTCTATATAAAGTGTATAATAGCTATCTTATCTGCCTTAAATATTACCTTACTCTATTATTCCTAATTAAGTGCTTAGTTAATAATAGTCTAGATCCTTTATTAGTTTACTTCTTATAATAGTCTAGTAACCTATACTATATAGTTATTAATAAATACTAATAATCCTTTATTCTTATTAATTTAGTGCTAGACTAGATTTACGTTAAAGAAAAAGAATAGAATAGGGGATAGTAGTAAGCCCTAAGGTAGCCTAGGTTAAGGCAGGGAGTAGACCTTAGAGTCCTAGCTGTTAACTTAGATACTAGCAGTCTGTTATAAATAGAACGTATTAACCTACTTTACTAGCTTCTCTAGTATCCCTCTTGCCTTAGGTCTCTAAAGTAGTCTTTCCTTATACACTCTGTTGTATACGCCTTTAACGTTAAAGCTAACTAAGCTAAGGACCTTTCTCTTCCTCTATGCTCTGTAGATATGCTCCTAAAGTAACACTAAGGCTTGTTCTGCTAACTACTACTTCTAGGCACTAAAGTGGCTAGTAGGCAGGAGTCTATATGTTTTAACTATATAAGATATCCTCTTAGCTATTACTAACTTAAGCACCTTCCCTAGTGTTAATAATAGTAAAATTAGTTACTAAGCCTTTATAATAGTATAGTTATCCTTATTAGGTTTCTTTAGTAAGATAATCTTTATATGTCTCTACTGCCTTAGTAGTTCTCTCTTGTTTACTAAGGTTTAGAATAGTACGTGCACCTAGTGTTTTACTACTAGCTACATCTACTTCTATATAGCTATTAGTAACCTATCCTCTCTAGGTGCTTTTTATAATTTTACTAT